TCAGTGAACGCCTGGAGAGAGTTGAGAGGACAGTAGGCAAGGCCAGACTACGGACTGACACAAGGACAGTCCTGATTGGTCCTTTAAGCTCAGACGTGTGCACACACACACACACACACACAGACACACACACACCTCACCAACTGACATGGTCTGTGAACCTCATCTCCAGTGATCTGCTCTGATTAAGCTGGTCAAACTGCTCTGCTCTGGTTGACCTGGTTCCACTGGAGAACTCTGTTGGTGTCTGTGGAACACGTTCTTCCCACGTTCTGTTCCAACACCTGAACGTCTCTCAGCCGACGTAGGACCTGACGTATCTGGGTTTGATAGTGGGTTTTCAGGAGCACACTGCCACCTACTGGACTGGAGTGTGTAGTGTCATGGTCTGACCAGTGACTTTTTGCAGCCTGCTCCGTACGACTTGAGGCTTTTTTTTTTACAACATTTGAATCGATTTCATCACTAATTACTGCTCTGAGACTCCTCCCACTTTAGACAGTGAGGTGTTGGTCCTTCAACCTTCTAGTGAACCTTTGTGGTGGTCTTCTCCACAGTCTGTCCTGCTGCTGGGGGCCGTGGTGTTGGTCTGCCTGGGCCTGGACCTCCTCTTTCTTCTCTTCTACTCCTTCTGGCTTTGCTGCAGGCGTCGCAAAAGTGACGAAGCCTCCCACTCGCACGCGCACTCTCATCGGCCCAGCCCTGACTGCTGCTGCACGGCCTGGTGCGTCATCATCGCCACGCTCGTCTGCAGGTGAGAAGGTTCTTCACATCAGAACGACAGCTCCACGGAGGTGCCTTTGAATGAACCTTGTTTTGTTGAATTCTTGAGAAAATGTGCCGAGAGCGTTACAACTAAAGGTCGTGACGCTGAAGAAGAGAAGAAGAAGTCAGTTTGATGACAACGAGTGCTTTCTTTGTTGGTTGTTGTTGTTGTTGTGTGTGGTCTCTGAAGGTCTCTAACTCTGATGTATATGTTCATGTATAATACAGTAGTCAATACAATCACAACAACAGCCATAATAATAATAATAGAGTTCCTTATTAAATGTTAAACCTTATATAAATATTGGTTTGTATCTACTGCCCAAATTAGATCAACTGATTTGACTAAAGTGAGTTTGATCATTTAAACTGAAAGAATACAATTCAGTCAGACTTAAGACTGAATCAGAATGGTCAAAATCAGCGAACACTTTGACCACACGGATGAGAAACTCTGGTGGGCCACATTAAATGATTAGGTGGGCCACATTAAATGATTTGGTGGGCCACATTAAATGATTTGGTGGGCCACATTAAATGATTAGGTGGCCACATTAAATGATTGGATGAGAAACTCTGGTGGGCCACATTAAATGATTAGGTGGGCCACATTAAATGATTTGGTGGGCCACATTTGGCCCAGGAGCCTTGGCTTTGACGTTCGTGGTCTAGACCCTGTGGATCTCAGTTGGATGAGGAGAGGACGAGGACGTCTCTCTCTACCAGATCATTCTGTCTGTCCTGGAACAGTTGCCATGGAGACAGGAGCAGATTTGATGTAGAGACAAAAAAAATGAATTATACAGTCAGGGGGAAGCTGTGCTCTCTCTCTCTCTCTCTCTCTCTCTCTCTCTCTCTCTGTAGGCGTGTGTGTGTGTTCCTTCAGGTTCTTTGAGCTGGTTCTCAGCCCACGGTCTGTGGACTGTTTGTGTTCAGGTCGTCAGCACTTTTCATTGTAAATGCAGTTTCATTGTCTGCTAAAAAAAAAAGAAAATGTTGTCTCAGAAAGAATGTTTCCATCATCTCAGCATGAACTTCATGGACAAAAACAGATATTTTCTTCTACTGCGTTCCAAGGAGTACTGCAGTCCAGTATCAGCTACATATACAACACACAGTTGGGTTTAGGACAGAGAAGACGGGGGGGGGGGACATATATCACATTAAAGTGTCTCCATGACTACATTCACCTGCTGCTGTCAGGAGGTACAGTACATTACAGATGTAATCCATTATCAAGGTCTTAAACACTAACCTTCACACACACACACACACACACACACACACACACTGCTCCCAGTCTAATGGGCCTGAATGAATTGCCTTTACAGTGACCAATAAATCTGAGTTCTGTTCAGTTTGTCTGCACACACACATCATTAACTCAGAGTACAGTGAAACACACACACACATTAAGTACACATTAAGTTGATAGTTGATAGGTGATAGTTGATGTGAAGCAGAATCTATGTTGGCAACAATCAGGGAGAAGATGTCGTTCAGTGACAGAGGTCAAAGGTCAGATGGAGGGGTCCTGGACTGGAAACACTTTGACACCAACTGGACCAGATTAGGTCTGGTCTGGTGACCCACTTATTCTGTGTATGTGTGTGTGTGTGTGTGGTTCCTGCCTCAGGACTGAGGATGACACCAAAACAATAGGACTGTGTCTCAGTGCTGCCTCTTACTGGTTCAAAGAAGACGGTGCAGTTCTGTCCTAGAAGATAGGTGATAGTTGATAGTTGATAGGTGATAGTTGATAGGTGATAGATGATTGTTGATAGATAGGTGATAGTTGATAGGTGATAGTTTCCAGTTGTTTGATGATTTGCTCCGCCCCTCAGCGCTGGTATCGCTGTTGGATTCTACGGAAATGGAGAGTCCAGTGATGGAGCCAGTCGGTTGGCCTACTCCCTGCGTCACGCCAACCACACTGTATCTGGGGTGGAGAAACTGGTGCGTCATTTCACTTGTGCACTCACACACCAAATGGAAACTTGGCCCGAGTCACTGGAGATGTTTCTGTTTGTCTTTTTGAGTCCAGGTGACAGACAGCGCCCGAGCCTTGAACCAGACTGTGGAAGAGAACCTGGTCATCCTGGAGACCGCCTTCCAGGAGCAGGCAGACTACATGTCCATAGTCCAAAAGCTGCAGGGACAGCTGGACGAGCTGGTGAGGCTGATGGTGGACGTTCCTTTTTGGTCCAGTACTGACGTCTCCCTGGACGACTTGGCTCGCAAGACAGAGGAGTTTGACTTTTACAGGTCGGTGACCAGATTCTTTTTCTGTTCAACGCCTTCTTTCTCAGCTTTTGTGTTGAGTTGAGAAGACAGATGTCCTGAATGTCCAGAGTGTGAGCCCCTGTGTGGACCTGCTGTCTCCTCAGGTGGTCGGCCTACCTGGGCCTGCTGCTCTTCGATGCACTCATTTGTCTGCTGGTGCTCTTTGGTTTGATTCGCAACTCCAGAGGTACTCTCATTGGGTGAGTTGATTTGTAGTCATCCTGACGTATCATCGGGATTCTGTTCTGATGAGTGGAGACAAACCTACGGTCCGCAGCCCAGACACGTCCCAGCGTGATCCAGCTTCAAACAGATCTGCCTTTTTTCCCTTTCAGAGTGTGTCTGCTGGGGGTTCTGACTCTCATCATCAGCTGGGGGTCTCTGGGCCTGGAGCTGGCTGTTGCTGTGGTGAGTGTTACCATGGTAACAGGCTTGCTCTCTCAGTGTCTGCAGTGATGTAATCTTTTCCCACTGCTGAATTGTGAGTGTGCTGTTGATCTGCAGCCTGATGTGTCATGTGATCTCCCTCTGTCTACAGTCGGCCAGTGACTTCTGTGTCTCCCCGGATACCTACATCACCACGGTAACCAAGGACAACACTGTCATCAACCAGGGTATGCAGATGAGAAAACACAGCAACAGCCGACACACACACACACACACACACACACACACCATCACTGTGGAGAAGTGATATCTTAGTCACGATGATATATTGAGGTATTCCCCCCCCCCCCCCCGTGTAACTGTAGTCAGAGTGTGATCGTAGTATACTATACTGCAGTATCTCTGTGGTACATTCACAGAAATACCGCAGTACTACCTCGTAGTAATACTTTTGTGTTGTGGTCCATTCACAGAGATACTGCAGTACTACCTCGTGGTAATACTTTTGTGTTGTGGTCCATTCACAGAGATACTGCAGTACTACCTCGTAGTAATACTTTTGTGTTGTGGTCCATTCACAGAGATACTGCAGTACTACCTCGTAGTAATACTTTTGTGTTGTGGTCCATTCACAGAGATACTGCAGTACTACCTCGTAGTAATACTTTTGTGTTGTGGTCCATTCACAGAGATACTGCAGTACTACCTCGTAGTAATACTTTTGTGTTGTGGTCCATTCACAGAGATACTGCAGTACTACCTCGTAGTAATACTTTTGTGTTGTGGTCCATTCACAGAGATACTGCAGTACTACCTCGTAGTATTACTTTTGTGTTGTGGTCCATTCACAGAGATACTGCAGTACTACCTCGTAGTATTACTTTTGTGTTGTGGTCCATTCACAGAGATACTGCAGTACTACCTCGTAGTAATACTTTTGTGTTGTGGTCCATTCACAGAGATACTGCAGTACTACCTCGTAGTAATACTTTTGTGTTGTGGTCCATTCACAGAGATACTGCAGTACTACCTCGTAGTAATACTTTTGTGTTGTGGTCCATTCACAGAGATACTGCAGTACTACCTCGTAGTAATACTTTTGTGTTGTGGTCCATTCACAGAGATACTGCAGTACTACCTCGTAGTAATACTTTTGTGTTGTGGTCCATTCACAGAGATACTGCAGTACTACCTCGTGGTAATACTTTTGTGTTGTGGTCCATTCACAGAGATACTGCAGTACTACCTCGTAGTAATACTTTTGTGTTGTGGTCCATTCACAGAGATACTGCAGTACTACCTGAGGTGCAGTAGTGGACACACCAACCCCTTCCAGCAGGTAGGCCCGGCCTCCGGCTCCTGACTGTTGTTGTGATGAGTGGACTTCCTGTTTGTGATGTCATGTCCTGTGTTGACGGTGGACAGAGGCTGTCGGGCAGCCACAAAGCTCTGGTGGAGATGCAGGACGATGTGGCCGAGCTGCTGAGGTCGGCGACCCGTGATTACGCCAACACTAAGGTATGACAGGAGCAGGAGAACGATGACCTGGAGAGACACGGTGGACAGATGTTGTTGACTGTTGACCTGGGGGTTGTTGTTGTGTCCAGGAGAGTCTGGAACAGGTCCAGTCAGTACTGAACTCCACCGAGGTCGGTCTCCACCAGCTGACGGCTCTGGTCGACTGTCGCAGCCTTCACATGGTGAGGAGCTGTGGTTGTTGAGAAGAACTCCCAGTCTGATGTCTCCTGGTTCAACATTTCACCCCCCCC